AGGAGGACGGTGGGGAAAAAAAAGAAAAGCGAAGAGGAAAAAAAAAGGCAATAAGCTGTATGTTCCCTCGAATCTGTGGTGCTGTAAAGAAATCAGTTTCCGTATAAATGATTGTATTTGGGTGGGTGCTTTTCCGACTTATTTGTTGAGTAAATCTTTCTCACCGCGCTGAAGGCGAATCCCTGTTGATAAATCCATCATTACCGTTTGGATACAGGGAGACAGCAGCGCCACTAAATTTATCTTACATTTGTAGCGCTTTAATAGACATTTATTAAATGCTTTCAGAGAGAGACATGGGGCGCCTGATTACATCCTAGTTATAGACAGAACATAAAGACACACGTTAACAGCAATTTACAAGGGTGGGGGGAGAGGAATAAAGAAAAGAAAACAAAAGAAAAGGCAAAGTTTGGGAGTAAAGCTGCTGGGAACCAGGCAGTGTGCGCCTCTCCGTATGGCAGCTAAAGACCAGCTTTTCCTCCCGCATTTCTCAGAATATTAATCGTGGCCTATGTCTGTGTGTGCATGTAGACATATAGAGTATGTACCATGCACCCGCACACAGGCAGATGCGCGCGTGTGGATCAAACAAGGCGACGCAGATTTCTGTTCAGTTCCCCAACACGTAAGAATACAGGAGAGCATTTTCAATAGATTCATCACCCTCTTCCACTCTCGCCCTCCACCCCTTTGCCCCCCCGCCACCCCCTCCTCCCTCCCCCCGCCAGCTTTTAACTCTAATTTCAATCTTCTTCAACTGAAGAATCTCCAGGGACATGGGCAAACTTGTGTAAAATAGTTAAACCAAGCGTGTTTCAAAGAGGATTGCTGAGTTCCTCTTCCTGCCTTAATAAACCGACAGGCCCAGTTCAAAGAAAACACGCTGGAATCAAAATTCAAAATATCTCACTACTCGCACGGATGGAGCAGGCTTCGAGCGATGGATGCGGCTTCATGCGTTGGTGGGCACGTAGTGACAAACATTTCGCCCTCCTTTTTTTTGTCTGTGGAAATCCTTCCTCTGGGCTTTTTCTCCCTTTCCTTTTACATATAAATACATATGTATACTTTAAACCTTTCTATTTTCTTTAAAAATCCCTTCTTCCGCTGTCTCTCAGGTACACGTTTAAAGCCACATCTTGCTTTTATAAAGTTAACCCGTTCCTGCAGAGATCTGATCAAATTCGGGTTCACGCCGCTCACCGCCCTCCGCACTGCTTCGCTCCGCACAGCAGCGAGCCCACACCGCGGAGCCTCTGCCTTAGGACCGATGATTTCTCTCTCTCTCTCTCTTTTTATTATTTTTTTTTCGTGTGTCTTGCGAGGGATCACCTCCGCGTTACCTTCCCACCACCCGAGTAATGCCCAGGGCAGCATCGCCCGGATAACACATGCAGCTCGGAGCTTCTCCTCCTCTAACACCCCGTGGGTCGCCTTTCACCGCGGACGGGGACACACACACAGACACATCCGCAGAAGCACAGAGTTGATCCCTGCACCTCCGGGAAAATAAATAAATAAATAGCCACCACGCGAAACCTTTCCTCCACCTCTGCCCTTTTGCGAGAACACTTCTTCTATCTAAAAGTTTCCAAAAGAAAATAAATACAAGTGACACTGTGCTGGGGGAAAGCTCATTAGTTCGTTGTCCAAGTCTAATAAAAGAACAGAAGTGCAAATTATAGAGTTCAGCTTCAACACACGCTCTGTCAACTAAAATCAACCGAGTGGAGCCTTGATTCAAATAGCTGCGAAGTTGGTCCGCAATTCAAAACCACCTTCCCCCTCCTCCTTTCCCCTGCCCACCTCCACCCTCCGCCCAGCCGCAGGGACATTTGGTTGGAAAAATATTGTTCCAAGGAAGGTAATGATAAAGCTTAACATTAGGAAGAGGAGTGCGCAAACTCATTTCCCCATCGGTAATCCCAATAAAAGGAGCGTGGTGCTTCGCTGGGAAGGGCTGGGACAGGGGCTGCGTGTGTGTGGATGAGGAGGGGGGGAGGAGGGACAGGACTCCTGAAATAACATCTTCTTTCCAGCAAGGTAGAAGAAGAAACGGCCCCTTTGTTTTGATAATTAGCTAAGCCCAAACTAGGAAAGCAGATGTGTTTGCTTAGCTAATCATAAGACAAGTTTCTTTCAAAGAACTTCATTGAGCGATTGCAATTCTGAAGGAAGGAGAGGGACTTCATTTTCCTCTCCCTTGCCTCTCACCCCCCTCTATTTTTATTATTATTTTTTTTCCCTATACTTCTAATACGACAGAAACGCTTCCGATTACCTAGATGGGAAGAAGGCAAACCCTCTTCATCATAGCACCGGGCTCGCCCCCGGAGCAGCGCAGCCACCTCGGGCTCTCCCTGCTGCACGTTACCAGCCAGATCTGTTGACATTTTACTTGGGGGTGGGGGTGGGGGTGGTGGAGGGGATGGGTAGAGAAAGGGGGGGAAGAGAAGTGGGAAAAATAAAGTTTTAATGACATGTATGACATATTAAATTAGGCAGTTTTACAATTGGGTTTGAATGCGATGCTAACTGATTACAACTGTGTTATCAAAAGGGTGATAAGATTTATAACTTCGTGAGCACAAGCCTCTCCTCTTAATGACAATAGATGTTCAATAGCAGAAATCTGGTTTCTATTTCCCAAGAAGAGACGCTGTGTGTCTCCGTTGCCCCTTTATTACCGCAGGATTCAAGATCCTCTCTAAAACAGCTTGGCACTTGGAAATCCACAGGCCAGGAATACCTTTATGGTCCCTATTAACTACTGTGTTATTTACACTTTCGCTGGTGCTTCTCACTCAATACCCGTATCACATACGAGGGATAACACAACCTCTCTCCTTGCCTTTCGCTGGCTGTTTTGGGTTTATATTTTGCATTTCTTTGCTTTACAAAAGGAAAAAAAGAAGGGAAGGGGGAAAGGAAAAATCCCCCACAGCTCTGTCCCTTACACCCCTCTCCTCCCCAGCTCCCTAAACCAACACATTAAGCAAACTTTAAAAACTGGGTTCCTATTACAAAGCAGCGCCCAGGACTAACTGCTTTAAAATTACTGCATAATTAGATTTAGTTGAATTTCACCATTAATTAGGCAGCCGCACTGCGGGGAGCCTTTGAAATCTGAGAAAATGGGAAAAATCATCTGAAGCACGTTTTTTAAACCCAACTTCAATAAATCCTGACAAGGCCTGCATTTCTCCGTGTATCTCTTTCCATTCTACAAAGCAAAGCGAAGCGAGCGCGATCCCCAGGACCCACTAAAGTTTTAATTAAAAAAAAAAAAAAAAAAAAAAAAAAGGAAGGGAGAGAGAGAGAGAAAGAAATAAAAATAAAACCCATCTCCATCCCCACACACACATCCCGCTCGTTATCAAGCGGCGGCTACGAAACATCCTTTTTTCTCATTCCCTCTTTCCTCGCTGTTCCTCCCTTTCACCCCTTTTTTCTCCCCCTCCCCTATTTTTTAAATTTTTTTTTTATTATTTTTTTTTAGCTTTATAGGCGCATCCCCAGGACGCCGCGGAGATCCCCCGCTACCCCAGCCCGCGGGGGTCGGTGTGACCCCGCCGCACCGCACGGGGGGGAGATGCTTCCACAGGTCATTGACATGCGGATGGGGATACGGGATACGGGCTGCGGGGGCCAAGCGCCGCCCGCCGCGGCCCCGTCCCCAGCGCCGTCCCCGTCCCCACGCCGGCCGCGCTCCCCGCCCGGCGCCCCCCGAGCGCTGCCCCCGGCGCGGAGCGGGGCCGCGGGGCCCCCCCGGCGGCGCGGGGCGGGCGGCGGGGCCGGGGCCGCCATGTTGTTGGCTGAGCTCATCCCGGACCCGCCGCCGCCGCCGCGGACTTTTTTTTTTTTTTTTTTTTTTTTTCCCCTTTTTTTCCCACGCGTCGCCCCCGCGGCCCGCGCAGCGCTGCGCGCTCCCCGCTCCTCCTCCTCTTCCTCCTCCTCCTTCTCCTTGCTGCTCCCGCTGCTGAACCTCCCACCGCCCCCCGCCCCGCCGCGGCCGCCGGCGGAGCGGCCCCACGGGCGAGCCCCCGGCGCGGGCTGCGGCGCTGCCCGGCCCCGCACACACACACACCCCTCACACACACGCACAGACACACAGATACACACACAGATACACACACAGCGCACACACGCGGGGCTGGCACCGCCCGCCCGGCGCCTCCTCCAGCCCCCGCTTTTGTCTGAACTTGGGGGAGCCGCCTCCTCCCGCGCCCCCTCCGCGCCCCGCGGGGCCGCCGCCCCCCTCGGCGGGGCCGGGGGAGGTTTTGGGATCGCGGCGGCGGGGAGGGGAGAGGAGCGGAGGAGGAGGAGGAAGGGGAAGGGGGGGGTGAAGAAGAACCTTTCCCGAGCTGTGGGTTGCACCGCGGGCGGCTCCGCAGCTCTCGCTGTCGTTCCGGGTCGCCTTTGGGTCTTTCCCCGCCAGTCCCGGTGGCAAAGGGTTGGGGGGGAGGAAGGAATAGAGCGAGCTAAGATCAGATTAAAGCAGAAAATATAATAAAAGAGAGGGTTGGCAAGGGGGGAACCGCAAGAAAAAAAATAAATTAGAGACTTAAAGGGAAAGAGTCGCCATGTTTAACAGCTCTTTTTTTTTTTTTTTTTTTTTTTAAAAAAAAAAAAAAAAAAAAGGATCTCCTCAATTCCACATAGAACAAGCTTCTCGATCCCAACCCTCCTCTTTTGTCCAATTCAATCTTTGGATAGATCTTTTGTTCTAACTCAGCATGAAAAGAAAAACTTTCTTTAAATGCTATAAACTTAAAACTAACTGAAGTCCCTAAACAAATCCTCCTCTGAGCATTCCAAACATATATACATGGGGCTTGTGTGTGTGTGCGTGCGTGTGTGTGTGTGTGTGTGTGTGTTTTATTTAACCCTGGTGCATTTTCTGTTTACTATTATTCTCTGTGAACCAAAGCTCGCTGCAAGAAACTTATAAATACAGAGATAGCTTACAGGCTTTAAAACATAAAAAGCAGAGAATGTTTTGGATTTGAAAATCATAAATTATAATTTAATGCCAATAACAATTTACAACAAATGGTTGTTTACAATAAACTAACACAAAACAAACAAGTCAAGATCCTGTGTTCTTAGTAAGCATAAAAACTTCACACACACACACTCACATGGATAGCACTTGCAATAGAAAAAGCTAAATCTAGAGGTCAGCAATCCCCTGCAATAATAGTATATTTATATATTTATATATATTTATATATTTATAGAAAAGGAGCCATGATTCAGATGTAAAACTCTGCTCAAATTCACAGTCATACGCCCCTCAGCCCCCAGTACAGATGTGCCTAACTGGAACACACTAAAGATCAGGGTTTAATCGACTTTACAGAATGATCTCTCTCCCTCCCTCTCTCTCTTTTTGTGAAACCACAACATGGTGTAGTTACGTGTGGTAAAAAGGGAGAGGGGGAAGCCTCAGACAAGAACAAAATTGCAAGCTTTCACATACAAAGCATCTGCTATAGACCAAGGGGAGGGCGGGCGGGGGGAGAGAGAAAGAAAAAAAAAAAAATGACACGCACACACACAAAACAAAATATCAACCCCTTGCAAAACCACATCATCTTGCCTTCCTTCAGATTTGGGTTTTTGGGTGGGTTATTTTTTTTTTTTTTTTTTTAATTTTTTCCCCCCTGCTCGGGATAGCACTCAATTCCCCAGTGGTGTGTCCGGTCCTGTGCCACCCGCCCAGGCAGGTCCCACTCCCGGTGGGAGCTGTGCCTGTGCCAGGGCTGCAGGACAGGAGGACAGGGCCCTGTGCCTACACAGGGAAGATGCATGTACGCCCACGCGGGTATGGATGCCAGGATACATACAGACATGTAGCCCATATGTAAAAGAGAGAGATGACCTGTGGTCATGCTTTCACAGTCTAAGGTAAAAAAAAAAAAAAAAAAAAAAAAAAAAAATCAAATCCACTTGAGAGCATATATACATTAAAAACTGACTCCTCAGTGCTAGAAGCTAAAGCCACTCCATTTGAAGACCTCTCAATGACAACGATAGATGGCAACTACGGAGTATTATAAAAAATCACACATACTTAAAGAAAACTCATTGCAAACAACTGACCTATATTTACAATACTGCTATTACCTTGCTTGAATGATCTTGTGCGCGTATGTCAGACATTTACAAAAGATTTTTCGCCCCATTCTGATCATAAAATAGATACTGATCTCCAGAAGTCTAATACTTTTTCACAACAATACCTTTCCTACGCAGGCACTTAAGTGTGACAAAAATAAGGGCCTTTTTTTTTTTTTTTTAACCAGAAAATCCATTTTTAAATAACAGGAGGATTAGATGAATGGGGGTTGATGGTTTACCATTTCAGCATAGTACTTCCTAAAACCAGAGATAAACCAAGAACTTAAGTCCTCCACCCCCATCCCGGAATTAAACAGGTAAATACACTACAATACATCTGCTACAAACTTACTGTGACAAGTAAACAAATCAATCGCCTATGGACTTAAATGACTGCAAACTATAGAGAAGTAAGGTGGTTTCTGAAAGACATTTATGACAGCCAAACAAGTTTCAGATATCAAATAATATTTTAATTTCTGAATACTTTCAATTTTCCTTGGAATATAACACACAAAGACTCGACCAAACAGTTCAGTTATTATAACTTTTACAGTATACAGAAATGTTGCACTTAAAAAAAAAAAAAACCTTCAGTTTTTTTAAACACAAAACTGTAAACTCTAAGATACTGAATCAATCACGTTATCTATAAGTGCCAACAGTGTTATTTTGTCATGCTGATTTCAATGGTATTTTTTAAAAAGGGAAAATATCAACAATTATTATAATACAAAGGGCTTGCAAATATACAAACAGATAGAGGAGTTTAATAACAATTCATGATGAACTATGTGGAACCCAATTCAAATTACAAAAGTTCACTTTGCTTGTTTGCTTGTTTTTTTTAAAATCAAAACCGTAGTGTGTCTTGGACACAAAATCCTTCTACCTATAATAAGTCCCCACAGTTCATTTTCTGTCCGAAATATCAAAAAAACCTAGATTTGGGGGGAGTTATATGACACGTGTGGTTCATTTGGGTCTATATAATTATAGCTCTCTCAGCTTCAAGCTAGATTTTGGGTCACCACCTTAAGTGCGCTTCCATCATTGTGTTGTTGAGGGGTTTTTTTCTCTTTTCCTTTCTTCCTATGATACTTTCGTGGACTCAGTTTTAATTCTTTCAGAACATATATTTTAAGGATACACAGTTTATTTTTTTTTTTAAAGAAGCCAAGGTTATATCAAAAATTATTATAGAACCACAGAATAAACTGGTTTGAAACCAGAAAAATACAAAAAAGAACAGCTATAGGTACATAGACACATAGGACAATTAATAATTTGGAAAAAAAAGACTTACTTTCTTCCGTTCTGCTAATTTTCTCCAAATTTCCTTTAAATGCACTTTAAGCGAGATTTTTTAAAAAGTTTACCCCAAAAAAAGAAAAAAAAAGAAGAAAAAAGAAAAAAAGAAAAAGCCCACCATCGTTTCTTTTCTTCTTCTTTCTCTTTTTCTTTCCCTCTTTTTTATTTTTTACAAAAAAAATGATAAGTAGCAAGTTTTTTTTTCTGAACGACACGGGAGTTTTTAATGCATTCTGTAAAAGTTCATTTGACAGTCTCTTTTTTTAATTCACAGTCCATTAATTTTTTCCTGTCTTCTCTTAGCAAACTTGTAACATCCTTTTACATCCTTTCTTAGCAGAAGGAAATTTAAGAAACAACCAGAACCCAAATGTCATTTGCTTTCCTTTCACTCTCATCTCTCCCTTCTCAATTTTTAAATTTTTTTTTTTTTAAGATTCTTTTTTTTTTTTTTTTCTCTCTCTCGAATGTTTTATTGAATGGACATGTAAGGCCAGTTAAAACTGCTGCCAGACAGTAACATATCCCTGATTAGGGTTTCTATGGGGGTTTTACCTACCAAACGGACGAAAAACAATTGCTCTATGACAGAAGAGGAGACAGTGCGAAGGGAGGGGAGACGTAGTAATAGCTTCCCGAATCGTGTTGGCTGGTTGGGATACTGGCTCCTAACATACTCTTCCAAAGCACACTGTGACTTCTCCTGTAAACTTTCAACATGGGCTACATCAGAGAGACCACAGGCATCTAGAAGAAAGTGTATTAAAAAAAAAAAAAAAAAAAAAAAAAAAAAAGAAAAAAAAAAAAAGAAAGCAATCATCAGATTAAAAAGGTTCTTGTTGTGTTTGGTGGTTTGTTGTTTTTTTTCTTTAATTTATAATTTGATTTTCTTCTTAATTTCTAGAATTAAGTGTCGATCGTGCGCCATCACCTCGCCCCCCAGAGTTTAAGTGGGTTTTACCAAAAGGGACAATCTCTCTGTGCATGTGTGTGTGTTTGTATTTCTCTCTCTTCTGGAGGGTCTCCTTTAGGATTGAGCACAGCTCCCAGAGTCGAGATTTCTAATGGCACAACAGACCTGAGGGGTTGGCAAGAAGGTGCTGGCCAAGCTTAATTTTGTATATCTATATTTTTGGGGGAAAAGCTAGGGGGGCAGGGAAGGCTTGAATTGAAAGGGGGGAAAGGGAGCCACTATTTCTCCACACCCCCCCTCCTTGGAAAGTAATTGGGGAGAACCTAACCCTGCAATGGGAAGCAGTACTACTCATAGTGATAGAAATCATAATAATAATAAAAAAACTGGCCCAGCCAAAGATAATGGCGCCCCGGATCCAGCAACAGATTCTCCCCCAAAGAAGACAACGCGTTTTTCTTCAGTCTTTGAAACTGATTTAAGTGGCCCTTTAAAACTGATCTTGTCAGTTTAGCCTATTCAGAGGCAGCCATGCAAACTGTGATCTCTCTGTTCATTTGAGCTGTTTCTTTTCCCCCCTCTTTTCTTTTCTCTTTCTTTCTTCCCCCCCCTTCACTCCCCCCCCCCCTTTTTTTTTTTCCCTCTTCTTCTTCTTTTTAAACCTAAAGGCCCTTACAAGAAGAAAACTCCCTGATAGGGTCTGGACATTTTTTTCTCTCTTTTTTTTTTTTTTTCCCTGATACGCTAAAATACAATAAGTTCCCTTTAAATCAGAGACGTCTGTGCTGAAAGAGCACAGGTTGTGACCTGACCTCCCTGTGGCTTTCCTAGGCACAGGGCTAACACATGCATATTCTGCGAGTCATTAGAACCCAGATTTTTTTACCCCCCCTCTTAAAAGAGGCTGCAGCAAACATTATATGCATCTATGAGTGTCTGCTTTACATCAGGGGAGGTTATTGGGGTGCTGCAGAAGCTGCAAGCATCACCCTATATTTTTTTGCATGCGACTATCTTCCCCAGAATCAGATAACAAGAAACGTTTATCTAGTTGGGAGGCAATTTACACGCCAGGCCTCACATTTTGAAAATAGTCATAAATTAAACAGTTACGACAGGATCGGACGATTGTTTTCTCAGAAGGCTAAAAAAAAAAAAAAAAAAAAAAAAAAAGAAAAAAAAAAGTGATTTGGGAGGAAAGGCAGGATTGGAAACAAACTCCTCGGTGTGGGTGTGAGCTGGGCAGGGGCTGGGGAGGGATGTGAGCGTGTGTGGGATCCTCGCTGAGCGAGGGAGAGGAAAATGCATCCTAGAAAAACGATAGAAAAATAAAAGAAGCACCCCACAGACACTCCTTCCCACTCGGGATCCCTGTCTCCCTGTGGCTAGATGCGCCCTGCTCATTGATCACCTAAGGATTTAGCACGAGTAATCTGGGGGGGGGAGGGAAAAAAAAAAGGAGAAGTTTTTTATGTGTAAAGCAATAATATATAAAAGGAAGTTTAGGTCACGACCCAGAACCTGGACAAAGTCCAGAAAATGACTTCGTTCCCCAGACCCCCTTTAACACAACAAGGAACGGATTGTGAGCCCTTCTTTTCCCACATAAACTACATTTTTTTCCTGTTTCCTGATATCAGGCTTTAAAAAACTCCGATGAGTAATTATTTTACAGGTCCTGCTTCCATTCATATGTTTATCGCGTGGCCACTTTCCCAAGCGTCCAAATGAGTTACAGACGAAATATATGTATTTTTAAACTTAATCCCCAAACTTCGAGGGCTCCAGCACACTGTGTTGCCAATGCAGCCTTAAAGTTAGTGATCTGAGATAACGTATTGCACAAATTAGCGAGCAGATTTTTTTTTTTTCCCCTCAGAAGAAAAAAAAAAAAAATTTAGCCTCCAGAGTTAATATCAGGATTATTACTCACCCAGGTTAAACTCTAGTGCAAGCTAATTAGATTTCACAACGCACTCAATTATTGCTTTATAACTCATGCACTATTTCTAGGCAGCAAAAGTTGACACATATTTCCCCCCCCCCTCCCCTCTTTGATTATCTAAGAAACACCTCGAGGTCTTTTCCTCGGGAGAGGCATGGTTGTGCCACCCCGGAATTACACTGCGGAGCGGCAGCTTCAGCCTCCTCTTACTTTTCCATGCTATCCCTGTCTACTTATGGTAATGATCTTTTCGCACCCGCTACTCGCTTTGGACTATGCAGTTCCTGCTGGGTACAAATGCAAACTTTTCCCCTTAGCTTAAATGGCACAGAACTGCTCACTGCCACATTCTGTTTAAATCAGAGACAGCTCTTTGGAAAGTTGATTTATTTTATTTTATGGAATGGCAGGGAACATATTTTAAACTCAGCTTTGTGCATTTAACTTTTTTTTTTTTTTTTAATTCAATTTTTAATCCTGCAGGGCTTTTTTCCCTTCCTGGCTGCCCATAAAATGATCCTCTTTTTAAAGTGGTTTCACTGATAGGACGACTTGTATTTAACAACATCAAACAGATTTTGCTGCTGTTCGGATGCGTGTCATTAAATGCAACAACCCAGAGCTATACTGTTAAATAAAATATTATTTTCAATGGGAAGAGCGCAGTCTCTCGTGGCGAATGGGTGCTTCTTCCCGGGCCCCTTCTTTCCCAGTCCCCAGCATTATTCAGCTAGGGCTGGGGTGCATTTTTGTATTTTGGTTGTCCTTTCATTTGGCTTTTTTTTTTTTTTTTTTTAGTTTTGTGTGTGTGTGTATTTTATTTTTATTTTATTTTTTTCTAATTTGCACTCCCTGGAAGACAGGATGCTCGGATCCGAGGCCCTGAAGGGGAGACCACAGGGCACTGCTTCCTAAAAGGAAAGAGACCGCGCTGGTTTCTCGGGGGGAGCAGGGAAGCAGTGATGGGGTGCAGGCAATAACACTTTGCAAGAGCAAACAGTTCTCAAGGGGGGCCCGGGGAAGGAAAAAAAAAAAAAAGGAGCAAAGAAATGCCGCCTACCTGAGGTGAAGAGGACTATGGCCTTTAAACAGCTATATTCTGCAGAGTCGACATGCAATGCTTTCAGTTTTTCTACTTGCTCTTGGAAGATTCGTATGTGGTCCATAAAGGCGACCACTCGGTCAGCAGACATTGGCGAAGCGTGGAGGCCAGCAGCTGCCAGGAGCGGAGCTACGTGGAGGGGCATGGAGCACTGGGCAGCGTTGAGGACAAATAACTCGCTCCAGGTCAGCCTCAGGAGGGCCACCTGGTCTGTGATCTGGAGGTCTGGGAAGAAGGGGATATTCCTGGCCCACTCCACCGCGCTGAAGAGCATCCTAGCTGCCAGTTCACAAATGTTCTCGATGCCCATGATGTTGTTGGGTTGCATGCACTGACTGCCAAAGCGGGAGGTGGGGTAGGGCTCTGCTCTCAGAAGAAGGGAGATATATCCGGATAGGTAGGAATGGCAGTTGAGAGGGTCCCCATTTGTCAAGGCGAACTGACCATGAGTTGGCTGTGTGGGTGGCATTCTGCCCCTCTGGACCGCTGCAGTAAATAGAGAAGAAACTACAGCTATTAATATCTGAATTGCAACCATCGATTCAAATACAGCCTGCTTTGTGTGCTTCTGCGTGCCTGTGTGACCCCGGACCCGGCCAGCTTCAGGGGGAACATGCATTTTCCCAGCCAGAGTTCAGCCCCAGCCCCGGTTAAATGCTCCGCAGTTCTCGGGTCAAGTCAAAGCAACAATAAAAGCTGAGGAACGCTGTAGGCTCGGCCAGGGCTGCTGCGGGAGCCCAGCTTCTCACTTCCCAAAACACACCACAATCCAGTTATTTCCCCCCTCCCCTCCACCGCCACCCCCTCCTTCAAGAGATGCAGGATACGTCTTTGTGTGCCCGGGTGTTTTTTCTTCATTACACCTAAAACAGCTCATTGATTTGAGGTTGGGGGAGCGGGATGGGGAGGGAGGAGGGGAGAGGGAAGAAACACTTCAGTTCGAAATCCCCGGCTCTGGTCCCACACGCGTTTCTCGCCCACTGAATACATTGTTGCTGCTGTTATTATGTATCCCCCCCGCTCATAAAAAATACCAAAGGAGGCGAAATCACCCCACAACATCCCCGGCAAGTCCCCTGGTGAGGCTGAGGGCATTATCCAAAGGCACCTTCCCCCGCTGCCCATGGAAAGTGGGCCTTTCATTTTGTTAATAAATTTACACGGTGACAGCGAGAGAAAAAAGAGAGAGAAAAAGGGCTCAGAGGCAGAGAGACAACAAGAAGGGAGAACGCCTAAAAATGTGCTTGATTTATATTTGTTATCGCCCGTATTCCAAGGTTAGTTACTCTTGCAGAAACACAAAGAGAGGAGCCCAGCGAGTCCCAAGCCCCCTCACCCTTAACCTACATAGCAGCGTCCAGACACAGAGCACGCACTGGAAAACTGCAGGCTCACATTTCCCGTCTAATTTTATATCACAAAGACTCCACTTGCAGAGACCCGAGCACCCCACACTTACTTCTGGACTGCTCCTTCCCCCCCACCCCATCCCTTCTACCCCCTCCTGCCTCTCCCGGAGGAACAAGAAAATAAGAGGAAGAAGAGAAAAGTGAGGTAATAACAACCAGGAAAGGCAGGCACACGGCAGTATGTATATACACACACACACACGCGGAGATGTGTGTGTATATATATATTTTTAAAGGAGGAAAAATCCGGCTGGGAATCCACAGTGGAGTGCTGTAGAGCCTCGGTAGGGTGAGTCCCATTGTAATAGTAATTTGAACCGCCTGTGTAAAATTGCAATCTAAGGCAGGGTGCTGGAGGATATATATATATGTGTGTGTGTGTGTGTGCATCTCGGGAGGCTCCGTGTGTGTGTACGTACACACATGGACAGACACATATACACAGAGCTGCTCGGGGGACAGGGGCTAAGGCTGAGCATGCAGGAGGAAGCACGAAGGAAAAGTAACCACACGTCAGAATCATCATCTCGCTCCTAAGCAGCGTGAAACTAAAAATCCACTTTCAATAAACCTCCATCAGCAAAATCAAAACAAACACAAATCAATTACGAGTGCAGGAGAAAGCATGCGAGAGCCCCTGACTCCCTGCCCACCCTCCCCAACACCGCTTTCTTTCATTACGAGAAAGTTTCTGGCTGGTTTATTCGAGGGGGGTGGGTAAGGGGGAGGAAAGGTTCTGGTTGGGTTTGGGGTTTGGGTAGGGAGTTTAAAAATAATAATAATAATTATATATACTATTTTTAAAAAATTAAAAAAAAAAGAAAAACCAAACAAACCCCAAAACGCAGCGAGTGAAAAAAAATTTGCAAAACAAATGAAATCCCAATACCTTCCCGTCTCATGCCAACTTTGAGGCATTTTTTGAGGCGGCAGTACTGACACTGATTGCGGTGGTGCTGGTCAATGGGACAGTTCCTGTTGGCACGACAAGTGTAGCTGAGATTCCTCCTTACACTCCGCTTGAAGAAACTCTTGCAACCCTCGCAGGTAAACTGGCCATAATGTTTGCCACTAGACTTGTCCCCACAAACCACACATTCAATGTGCTGCTGCTGCTGCTGCTTGTCTCCTTGGTTCTGCTGGCTCGGCGGGTTGGTCTGGGCTGGCGTACTGGGAGGGCCCCCGGGCCCCGGGGTCTGTGGGGTGTGCGGGGTCCCGGCCGGGGGTCCCTGCACCGGCGGGGCTTGCGAAGGCTGCGTTCCCTGAGCTCCGGGCACATCGTCCTGGGGGTCTCGCCACGCACCGACTACCATTGCCATATCTATTGGACACCGTTGCCAAACTTCCTGTTCCCCCTTTATTTTCAAAGTTTGTTTGCTTTGCTTTTCAGATCAGCTTTGCAGCAGTCTTTTTATTTTTTGTCCTCCCCTCTCTCTCTCTCTCTTTCCCCCTCTCTCTTTTGTTGTTTTGCCTCTTTTTTTTTTTTTTTTTTTTCAGGAGGGTCGGGGTGGGGGGGATCTCCCGGTACCGGCGAAGGTGCAGAAGCACGGGGCGATGGAGGTGTGTGTGCGGGGGGGCGAGGTGCGAGTCGATTGTCTGGGCTCCAGGAGAGCAAAGTAAAGGGGTGGTGGGGGTGGGGGAGAGAGGGGGAGAGAGAGAGAGAGAGAGAGGAGAAAAAAAAAAAATCTCTTCAAAGATCTCCCTCTCTCTCTCTTAGAGCTGATCTGCAGCAGAGTAGTTGAAGGAGGAGAGGCGGGTGTCTGGGGGCCAGGTCCAGGGAAGCTCGCAGTCAGCCATTCAGGAAAGCCATCAAAATAAGAATGAATAAAAGGTTAAAGATTACACACACAGCGGAAAAAAACACGCACAGCGGAGGAGACTCTTCTCGGCGCGGAGAGCGGTCGGTCTCGCCGTAGTTTTTGGAAGTCCAGCTTGCAGCAGCAACATCAACTGCGATCGCTTTGTTTTTGTGGGCTTTTTTTTTTCCTCCTCCTCCTCTTTCCTCCTCTCTCTCTCTCTCTGCTCTGTCTCTCCTCCCTCCTTCGCTCGCTTTAATTCTTCCTCTCCGCCGCTCCGCCCGGCCGCTGCGCTCTTGCTCTCTCTCGCTCCCTCTTTTGGGCTCGGGGGTGTGTGGGGGGGGCTCTGTTGGTCTTTCTTTTTTTTTTTTTTTTTCCTCCTCCTCCTCCTCCCCGCTTTTTTTTTTTAATATAAAAAAATTCTTATTCTCGCAAGAATAGTAATAATTATTATTATGAATTATTATTATTATTATTATTATGATTGTTTATTTGTTCCTCCTCCTCGCCGCCGCTGCCCCTGCCACCGCCGCCGCCGCCGCCGCTCTGCCCCGCTCCGCCGGTTCGCCGCTCCCGCCGCGCCGCGTCCCCGCCGCCGCTGCCGCTCCCGCCGCCGCTCGGGTGCTGCTGCTGCCGCCGCCGCCGCCGCTCCCGCCGCCGCCGCTCCCGCCGCCGCTGCCGCCGCCGCGCTGCCTTATGCTGCTTCTGCCGCCTCGCAAGTGGGCTCTCGCCTCCGCGCCGCCGGTGCTCACGGCGCGGGCAGGGAGGGGCCGCGGGGCGGGGGAGGGAAGAGTCAACTCGCCAGCGCAGCAGCGCCCAGCCAGCCAGGATGATAAAAGAGGGAGCGGAGGAGGGAGGAGGAGGAGGTGGAGGAGGAGGGAGGAGGAGGAGGAGGAGGAGGAGGGAGAGAGAGAGAGGGAAGGATCATAACCCAGCGGCAGCATCGCTCTCCTCAGCCGGGGAGGAAAGGGAGGGGGAGAGGCGAAAAAAACCACCAAGGGAGACGCGCCAGCGCTTCCCCCACCCACCCCCCAAAAAGAAAAAAAAAATTAAAAAAAAAAAAAAGAGAGAAGCGAGGGCTCCCCGCTCCTCCCCTCGCTGTCGGCGGGAAGGGGCGGGGCGGGGCAGGCAGGGCGGGCGGGCGGTGCGGGCGGCGTGTGGGCCGGGTGAGCGGCGGGCGCGCTCCCCGCCGGCCGCTCGCCCCGCTGGCGGGAGAGTGAACTTTGACACGGCTGCTGCAACTCGGCGCGCGTCGCCATGGCGACCGCGCGCCTTATAAGGCAACCGGGCCGGCGCCTGACTGGCCCCGCGCGCGCGCCCCGCCCGCCGCCCCTCATTGGCCGCCGCCGCCGCCGCTCCGAGCCCGCCATGGCCGCCGGAGCGCCGGCCCCGCCGCCGGGTCCTAAAGCCCGCCCGCAGCGCGCCCCGCAGCGTGCCCCGCACCGCCCCGCCGGGGCGCGGGGGTGACCGCCGGCCCGCCGCGCCCGCCTCACCCGCCTCGCCTCACCTCACCTGGGGCTGCCCTCCCCGCGGGTCGGAGTGGGGCGGCGGGGTGGGAAGCGGAAAGCGGGCGCTAAGGCGAGGTGAAACTCCACGGAATAAAGTGAAGCCGAGGGGCGGCCGCCGGTCCCTTGGAAAGGGGTCGGGGAGCGCAGTTCGGGTTCGCGGCCCGCGGCGCGGGGGAGCTCGGGCCCCGCGGCCGCGCTGCGGGCACGGAGGGTGGGGAGGTGGCACCTGCGCTCGCCGAGCGGAGCCCCGGCCGCCCGCGGAGCCGAGCCGAGATGAGCCCAGCCGAGTTAAACCGAGCCCGGCCGGCTGTGCTCGGGGCGCTCCGGGACCGGCCGCTCGCACAGCCCCGAGCCCGGCGGGGCGCGGGGGCTCCGCCGCTCCGCCCGCCCTCTCCTCAACCCCGCGGCTCCGCTCAAGGCACCATCGCGGCCGCTCCGCTGCGCGGCATCCCCGTGTTCCCCGCTCGGCATCGCTGCGGCGGGGCTCGCCCCGACCCCTTTAACTTCATTTTGTGGGTCTGGGGGGTTTTATGACCACACGTACCCTGACACTGTAACACAAGCTCCGTGCTGCACCGCGAGCAGGTAACCGATCTAAGCGCGGGGACGGGGGTTTATTTCCCGCTGAGTGGGACTACCGGGACTCCGAATCAGTCTGCCGGTGCAAATGGCCAAAAGACACTCCAGCAAGAGAAGGGACGGAGAGATAAAATAGGAAACATGTTAAAATAGACAGATAAACACCCGAGCGGACCGTTCCTCCTCTGCGAACACACGCCTGTACGTGCGCTCACATGTGAGCCGGTCACCAAGCACGGCCGCGGGGACCCAGACCTGGGCACAACTCTGCGAGGGATTAATTGCCCCTCACCTCTTCACACACACTTTTTCATGTTGCCACATGCCCACCCTCTCCTGACGCAGAAATAATAGATCTGGCTAAAGCCGCAGGTGTGGAGGTGATTGGAAAGTTGTAAAAAGCACCTCGACTTGACAGTGTCCTGCCTGGAAACCTGGTGTGTTCAGACCCCACGGACGAAGATGTTTTGCGGCTCAGTTTCAAAGACAAGGCTGCAGCGTTCCCACTGAGCCTCACGGAGCAAAAAAATAACCTTTACCCGAAACAGGGACCAGGAGGGACTAGGAAGACAGAAGGGGGAAAGGAATCTTTCCCCTTTAAAATGTGGGGAACTGTCTTATGATTTCCAAATAACCCAGAGCCGAGGAGGTCACCTTTCGGGGAGGGTGGGAGAAAGTGGGGGTTCAAAATACAGAATAGTCACAGATTGTTGCTGATGTTGAGTTTCCTGAGGGGGAAAAAACAAAAAACAACAACCAAACCAAAAACTCAAACCACAACCCAACACCAACCTTTCCTGTCTCGAAACTGACAAAGTAAACAGGATTAATTCACCATATGAAAAAACATTAGCGCCGTCCTAACAAATGCAGAAATCAGAAGAGAAAGCGGTTTTAACAGGACGCACAATATCACTAGTTTGAAGCTATGATCGTAAAAATGAAAAACCATTGATATAAGCTTAAAAGCCGCCTTATATGCTGATTGCTCAAGCATTAATGAAGAATGCCCCAGATTAACTATTTGCTCTTCGAGGGATGCAGCGATATAACTACCTATTAGCACCATTAGATGCTTTGCTATTTATTTGAAAACACCCCTGCGAGTGGGTTGAGACAGAACAGATGAATGTAAAAATGAACTGCAGCTAATTTCGCTAAATAATCCTCTAAACCTGAGCGCCTCGCAAGAAAGGGGGAGATTCTCACTGTCCTCCGAGGCTAATGACAATAGAAATGCTCCGGTTTAAAAGTGAGACCGTGTTGGTTTTCCAAATAAACAAACGCATCCCTCCTGCCATTTTACTGCAGATGTAAATTTATTTTAATGAGAGGGAGTGGAAGGATTTATTTTGCTAAAATAGAGTTGGGGATAGAGCCGGTGTAAATCTTTAGGTTTCAAAAAGAGAGAAGGAAGGAGGGGGAAGCTGCTTCCCTGGCAGAAAGCTGCCTAACAGTCCTCTAATTCTTTCTAGATTAAATCGCAATATGAATACAGCATCGAACAAATACCGAGTTTCGCTCTGAACTCAGTGGAAAGCAGTTACGTCTAACAGAATTCAATGAATTCCTCTTCTCCCTCAATGTAGTATGTGTGTGTTTTTCTCTTCCACCACACTGAAGTTCCATGAATAGGGAAAGTGGCTCCTATTGTGTGCCTCTGAACTTCCAAGTCAATGCAATTTTTAACCACTGGCTTGTGGTACTTTGAAAATCACCAGGGGCTGTCAGAGTTGGGTCCTCTGAAAAATTTACAGTGCTAAATCAGAGCATATGCTGTGAGAGAGGAAAAAAAATTGCTTAAGATTGGAGCAAGTACAGTATCTGGCTGCCCCCTAGTGTAAGTCTCTTATCTGCCTAAAATTCAACTTTAAAAGAAAAGGATCTCTTAAAGGGAAACGACTTTTGGCTCACGTATGCATACGAGAATGAAACTTCTGTACATTTTAATCTGATTAATTCCTAAGGATTTAAAATTAATTGGCTTGGGCACTCCTAGACCGGACTATAAGATTTCTGCATCAGGGTTTCTGCGAGAACTGTACGGAATAGGTATTTTTAAGGGATAGTGGTAAGGGATTGGGGGGGGGGAGATCCTGTTTTGTGATTTTTTTTTTTTTTTTAACGAGGAACCGTGCCTCGCTTGCTGTTGTCAGAGCCAAACACTTTTGCTGCTTAAAGTCAGATCTACGTCTTTTGCAATAATACTTCAAAAAAAAAAAAAAAAAAAGGATAAATAATTGCCTTAAAGCCTCAGCCGATCTACCAACCACACCTTCGGATGGTGAGTATATTCCAGCTTCTTTCCATTGTACTTGCTTAGCCAGGGAAGGGATCGGAGGGGGAGAGGGGATCTCGGCGCTATACCTTCACCACCGACCTTTTTTTTTTTTTTTTTTTTTTTTTTTTTACCCCCAAATAAACGCTGCCAGCTGCACACGGCGACACGATCCCGGGGCAGTTTAATACCTATCACTTAAGTTAAGAGCCTTGTCCTGCCCTCCCACCCTCCGGAGCAGGTCGGTCCGCGCTCCCCCCGAGCAGCCCCGGCGCCGGGCAGGGGCGGCAGCGCCCGGGCGCTGCTCCTGGGGAAATGACTTGGAGGCGCTTTGCCTCGGACCTGGAAGCCGAGTCCGGTCGTTGGGTTTGTTCGCTTGTTTGTTTGTTTGCTGCTTTGCTTTATTTAGCTAAAGGACGTGCTAACTGATGGTGCTGCAATTACACATACTTGGGTCTGCCCCCCTCCCCTCTTCCCCTCCTTAGAGCAACCCACGTAACCTTAGAAACGATCGTTTAAGACGCACGTTAGCTAACATTTGCTTTTTTGGATTTTTTGTTTTCCTTAAAAGAGAAACACAAGAATCACAACACATTGCCCGAAAAAAGTGTCAAAGAAGAAGAAAAAAAACTATAAGTAAACATACCAAAACCATATTTGCCTTGTTCAAGGTCCCAAATCGCTTGCATCTTCCTTTTTCTACCTCTCCTTTAGTTTGGCAGGTGAAAGAAACAAACAAACAAAAAAAAAATCAGACCGCTGTTTGCCCCCCAGAAAGATGTGCGTTGGGTAATTAAAGAGAAGTCTCCTTCTTGGTGTTTATCTAAGCGATTGTGCAAACTGATTAAAAAAAAAAAAAAAAGAGAGAGAGAGAAAAAAAAAAAAAAGTAAAGTTACAGCCTTCAGGGGGGAAAAAAAGGAGGCAAGGTGAAGGGAATAGATTTCCCACAACCTAAAGGGAAGTGCTTTCGATGTATTATTAGCGATCAGCCTTGGGAGAGAGAGGAAAAAAAAAAAAAACCCTGAACACACTCTAACTTTACACAGACAAGATTTCAGGGGGGGCTTTGTACACAGCTGCTTAGGAATGTGCGCCTTGCCTTTAAGA